CCAACATTAGCAACTGCAAAATGAAGGAAAGAAAATTCAAAGAAAAATGAAGAAACACCTTCTTGATGCATGAGTATGATAATGCACCTCCACAATTTTTCTCAGAAATCAAATATAAGTTCTTCCTGTCCGTTCTGTCCGAAAGTACAGTTCCTACTGCTCAAAGGATAAAAAGAAAACTACAAACCTGAAAATCCTGACAGTTTTCAGTCTTTTTTTTTCTTCTGCAATCCGGGGCTTGTTTAGCTTGGTATATTTCCCAGCGTCTATCATCTATCAACCCAATTTCACGCCCCAAAGGTGTGAGACGACTATCGGCATTATCAGATCGAAGAAGCAATCGATGTTCTGACCGGCTATGAGAAAAAGGTAATTGTATGACAGGAGATCTAGTTATACTATTTATCTATCAAGTTCATGATAATAAAAAGAACTCCTAACTTTGGACGGAATATGAATTGTCAAAAGTTACAGTACAAAATGCCAGTCTCTAAAATATACATTAAGGAACTGAGCAAAGAAGCTGTGTGAGAACAAAACACCATTCTTCAATCTTCCTATGCCAAGCCATGTCATGAATTAGTGGTGTATGTGACCAATAGCTATGGATATGATATATGCACAACATTAAAAAACAGTTGATCTCAACCTACAACCATTGACCATAACATGAAGTGGCCATTTGATATTCCACGAAGATCTGAAAACTGTTCATAGCATTTCACAGGAAGTCCAAAATAATTTGTTCATTGTTAGATTGAGCCTATATTGTAAATTCTGCATAAAAAATTGCTAGTGGAATGTAGTCTAATTTATTATCATGTAGAATATGTATTATGTGTAGGTAGTTGTAGGATGGGGTTGCAATATGGGAGGATGAGTCTTGATTAGGCCAGTTCATGAAATTTAATTCCAGAAATAACTGCTTCCATAATTGTTAAAAGAAGCCTGTCTTCTCGAAGACAGATTATGTATGAATGAAGAAGTATATTCAAGTGTTGAGTACTTTTTTACTCAAGAGATCATAGGGTTCTCTTTAACGAGTCCTTAAACTAGGATAAAGATAGGGAAAGAAAGGAAAACTCAAAAAACATTCTGAAGATCCTGTTGATTTCTATATCCATAAACCCGTAACTAGATCCATCAACAGGGACCATATGGTGCTGCACTCTCATTTCTTAGTCTCTAAAGCCTAAATTATTGATACAATCATTCTGGATCCCAAACTGATTACCTTGTTAACATGCGGTAAGGCTCTCGAAGGTCTTTGGTCACCAGATCATCGATCAGTGTCCCTGTATAGCTGCTTTCCCTCTCAAGAACAATGAGGGACTTACCATCTGAATGTCTGGCAGCATTAATGCCAGATACAATACCCTAAAAAAAAAATAGTGTAGTCATGAGATTAGGCCTGTAAAGAATCTAAATATTTCTAGTAGAAACACCATTTTACATTTCAGGTCTTATGAGTAACAAATGAGTCAATCACTAAAAGGTTGCAAACAAAATTTTGTGGAAAATCATTTGAAAACATAACAACCTGTGCTGCAGCCTCTTCATAGCCAGTTGTACCATTTATCTGGCCAGAGAAGAAAAGCCCCTCAATTCTTTTAGTCATTAGAGACCTAGAGCACTGATGAGCTGGCAAGAAATCATACTCTACAGCATATGCAGGCCTCAACATTGAGCAGTTTTCAAGTCCAGGCAAAGTTCTCAAAAGTGGTAACTGTAGCCTCTCTGGCAAACCAGTTGAAAACCCCTGTGATAATAGTAACATGACCAATCATATGAGATTTTCAAATGCATATGAGACAAAATGGAAGAGAAAGGCTGTAGCTGGAATATATTTCAAAAGGCTCTGAATGAAATAGTATATTTCAGTTTTCTGAAAGCAAAGACATTAAGATTCATCAAACAGAGGGACAACAGGAGGCTCCTGATATAAATCAGACCAAAATTTGACACTTTCATTAGAAAAACATTTATATGAATTCAGCAGTCACAATGATAGTCCATGTCTAGTTTCTGCTCAAGTACCATATTGAGCAAAAAAAAGTAGACCCGAAAGTGAATAATCATGCATTCATAAATCCACTTATTAACTTGAATTTCAGGATGCAACCAAGTTGTCATGAGAAAGAGTAGAATATGATGAGTTTGTTATTTGATTGATATTTTCCATCCGGTACTTAAAACGAATTAAAATTATCAATTTTTCAGAGGCATTATCTAAAAAGAGCTATTTCTGTTCACATTTGTAAACATCGGGTTAACTCAGAGACTAATAATCACATGTTCTTGACTCGGAAGGTGGTTTTACAGATTTGAAGCAAATTGTTTTCTCTTTGGGGGAGAGTTGGGCTTGCCCATCCACTTTGGAGGTGTTCTCCTCTAACTGTCCGAATAGGAATAAAGTGCATAAAGTGGTTTCACGATGTGTATACTTTGCTGTTTCCTGGGTGTTGTGGCTGGACCAAAATGCCAGAATTCTTAATCATGGTAATCCTACTATTCTATTTGGGACGTAATGATTTGTATGGCCTCTTTGTGGGCTAAATAGCTCTTTTCTTGGGGTTTGCCCTTGACCATTATGCAAAGTAATAGGGAGGCTGTCTCACATTAATTTTTTACCCCTTCTCCTCATTGTTTTTCTTTTCAATCTTCTAGTCTTTCTTAATGTGTGAGGAAATCTTATCATCTTCTTTTGTTTTTAATAGAAAAGAAGTATTAGGAGGAATAAAAAGAGAGTATATATCCTCCTAAAAGGAAAAAGAAACAAGAAAGAAACAACAAAACAAAAGAATAACCGATCAAACTCGGTAGAGGATGGCTGAGCAATCTCTATGCAATATAGACAAGAATAATCATTAAATGCCAATGCGCCTTAATCCAGAGATATGCTAAAAAATGCTACACAAATTCTCTCCTAAAATCATAACATTCCTCCTAATCGAACCACCTAAAACCAACAAAAAGAGCCCCACTAACAGAACCTTCACCTTCCTCTGATCAAGACTACACAAGGCAGAGGAAATAAACCCCTCAATATATGGAAAAGAGACCCAAGCTAATTCTAAGGTATCAAATAACTGACCACACAGTCTACATGGCTTATTACAATGCAGTAAAAGGTGTAGAAAATAGCTATTATTCTAGAAGGAAAATAGTTGTCATCTCCTTTTGTCCTTTCTTGTGTACCGTAGAAAGGAGAATAACAGAATTGGTGGTGTGTCACCTACACCAATTCTAAATATTCCCTGACCCCACAAAATCTGGTTCTGGTACAGAAAAGTTGTTATTCATTTGTGTATAAATATGCTCCTTTGGAGCTGGAAAAGGAAAGCAGAAAATAGAAGAAAAACTTCCCTCAAAATAACTTCATAATTTCTTTATGGTGTCAGAGCTTCTTCTGTTCTGATTGCACATTCGACTACCCCTGTTCCAGCATAATACAACAAGTGTTATGACTTCTGAAGGTATGTCGTCCTCATCTTCACCTGAGGTATCTTCAGGACCTTTCTTTTCTTCAGCAGTCACGCACGGCCTTGGAGAGCAAGCCTCTTCACAGATTACGGGCCACAAACTGACTGAAAACAACTATCTATAGTGGTCCTCTTCTGTGCTGCCTTTCATCCGGGGCAAGGGTAAGAGAATATATCACCGGAGAAGC